GTAAAGAAATAAAAAATGATAGCTGATTTAGGAAAGTAACGATAAAAAAAATTAATTTTTTTGGGTGAAAAATTAGAACCAAACAAGGGCAAGGTCGGGAAAACTGTAATAGAAGTCTTCGATACATTTTTTTTCTGTGTGAACCGATTCTTAAGCCTTAAATATTGGCAGCTAAATTCTAAACATTTCATTAATGTGATAGAAGTAGTCTCAATGAATAGAGTCCATTCAAATATGCAACAGTCCAAAGCATGTGATGTTCTATTAAAATGGTTATCGTGCATATGTAGAAATAGTGAAACAAGATCCTCTATTAGACTGGGGCCCTCATTCTATTCTCAACCCAATCCATTCTTCCATGCTTTATCGTGTGATTCATATGTTTTCCATTTTTTCATCCATTCTCCATTTGACTTATTAGAGTGCATTCAATGTATTTTAAATTGTGATTTAGATCTTTAAAACAGTCCAAAATATTTCTATTGGAGAGATGTCAAGGAAATGCAAAGTGCATTTCTCGACAGAAAAAATGTGGGACCGACAAGAAAGAAAGAACTATCAACCCACTTGCATCCCATTTTTTAAATCTTGTCGTTCGAGTATAATTTGAATTTAAATCCAACAAGATGTAAAAATGATTTTAGAAATGTCAATTTACGCTCAATTTTATATCATCATTAGAGATGCTATTATAATAATATACAATTTATGCAACATTTTAGTGCGAGGCATTGTCAAATATCAATAAAATTTCATACAATTTGCATCGTTTTGTGATCTTAATATCTATCGTGCGGCAATAGTTGTTAGAGTAATGCTATTCGCTCTAAGTGGCATACATGTGACAGTTTATTATTTGATGCACTAATGTGATATATATATATATATATTTTTTTTGTCTTATGCATCAAATAACAATTATTATTTTCTTTAGTACCTATTAATATCGAAATCATTGTCAAAATATTATTCATGATGATTTATCACTTTTTAGTATTATTTACCTATTAATTTGATTGCATAATCGTATAGATATGATGATTATTGTATTTTATTTTTTGCAAAATTTCAACCCAACAATTATAATTTAAATATAAAAATAAACAGTTCAACATTGCACAATCAAATAGTATAGAAGATAATAATCATTAATAAAATAAGATTATTACCCGAGAGAGAGAGAGAGAGAGAGAGAGAGAGAGAGAGAGAATAACGTGGGCTGGGCTGGGCTGGGCTGGGGCTGGACTCTCTAGCCCCCCTAAATCCGTAACCAGGGTTAGAATTTTTGTTAGTAAATTAAAACCTTATATTTTATAAGTTTTAATTATCAACAACAGTAATCTGTGACATGGAGATCCAATCGACAAAACTTTATGAAATAGAATTTGCTAAAATTTGAGGCCATTTTTTAATCTGAGGTCTCCTCACTTATCTAGAGATTGAACCAACTTTGACTAAAGTTAGACACATGCAACTTGCACAGAATACACATTCAGGCTCAAATTCAAATGGATTACTTGTCAACGCATGGTTAGACAGTTTGAAAAATTAAAACAAAAACACAAAATCTTTTTTAACATATCAATTTGTCTCTTCACTTCCTCTTTTTCAATATGGTTAAGTGGCTTTACTCTTTTAAGATATTATGAGCTTTACTGAACAAATCTCTTATCATGAGTTGAGTTTGAACACAATTAAACACTCTCCTTAGGCATCATCTAACAAAAACCCTCTAACCAAATTATATTATAAACCACTTTTCAACGTAAAAAAAAACCTAATTATTGAGAAGAAACACGTGAGAAGTGAGAAAAGTAAGTACCTTGTTGACCATTCCAACCCTACATACCAACAAATGTTTTAAAGACAAATTTAATAATGGACTTTTATTGAAGTATCAAAGCCCTATAGAAACAAGAACTTCTCGAAGCCCTATTAGAAGGAATTGACATGAAAAAAAGAAGAAGAATAATCATCGAATTATTGATTAGCACTTGTGTTAGTTTTTAAGGCTTGTTTATAGTTTAGGACAATTTTCACCACAAAACAAACTAATATGATGGGTGTACTTTTTAAGGAAACTGCAACCACTCCATAGAGGAGAAGGGTGTGGATAGAAGTTATTAATTTTGCTAATGGTTTATCTGAGTATAGTCAATGGAAATCCTAAAAGCATTAATAAAATCTTGATTGGAGAAAAGGCTAATTATTTTATGAAAAAAGCCATGCTTTCTATTTATGTATTTGATTAATTACGTGGAAACAGCTTCTGAAGGTTCACCATTATCGTGACTGAAATTTGACCAATATGTAACAAATATTTGATTCGTCTGATCAAGATTTTGACATAAAAATTGTAAGTATATTGTCGAACATATTTTTAGTGAAGACGAAGAACTCAAATAAAAAAAATCAATTATCAATTTCCTAATTTATTAAAAATCGCCCTATTTAATACGAATTAAAATCTAGATTTTAATTTATATTTAAACACATATTTTATTGGATCCACAATTTTTAATTGCACATTTCATCAATATTTATCAGGATCTACTAAAAATTTGATTTTAATCATCATCAAACAGTGGCCTAATAACAATGAAAATTTGAGGAAATAAAAGTAGGTATAGGATGTAATTAACAATTTGTTATTTTCTAGGGGAAAAAAGGGATTAAAGAGAGGCCCACATAGGCCATGGACTGGACACACAGGCCCAAGAACGTCCCGCCCGTGAGTGGTACAGCTTAACGAAAGTAAGAGTTATAAAATGGACTGGACTGCCTCTTTCCGTTCCTGCTCTACTCCACTATAAATGGGTAGAATTCTTGTTTAGAATTAGTTCCGTCAAATTCTTGTAAAAATTAGATCGAACCGAACCGTGCTCGTCACTAACTCTTTCATTTGAGACGAGCGTTGGAATTTGGTTTAAAGATTGAAATTTTTGGTTAAGTATAAATATGGAAAGTGACATTGTATCAACTTCAGTCAAATATTCAGACTTGATCCGATAGTTAAATTATAAATGTAAATGTTCTAACTTGTTCTACTCGTCGAGTAGATCATCGTAATATATTTAGAATCTCAAAAGCAATTTCGGATGAATGAAAAATTGCTGTCTAAAGTTGAAAAAAAAAAAAGGAAAAATTGGCTGGGAAATTTACCTAACTCTATCGCTTGCTTAGTGCTCGAATGACAGGCGAGCGAAAAGTTTCTATTGAAAAAATGATGCTGGCGCTCGAGCAAGAGACCAAAGATAGCAAGGGATGCTTCACTTTGTAAGGTTGCGGAGTTTGGGGCGTGTCACTTCACTCACAACCCCTCCTTTTTTTATAAATAAGATCATTTGGACGTCCATTATGCATCACATATCATTTGCATTGAGCATTATATATAAAACTATTGCAAAAACTCTTAAAAATCATTTTCTTGTGGAGAAGAATTTCGTTAGAGGCTGTTGCTAGTGGTTTAAAGTGCTTCTACCACAAGTTGTATCCGTTTTATCGTGAGACACAAGTGTCATAATCCATTAGTACCTTTGCGGGACAATTTTGTATTAAGAAAAAAGTGTCAATCACTTGCCTTGGATTAATTTTTCTACTTTCTTTCATTCTTCTTCTTTTTCTTTTCTTTTCTTTTCTTTTTTTGTTTCTATTTTCATGGAGTTTAATTATGTTCGTGTGAATTAAACTTTAGGAAAGACATGAGAATCATGAACAATTTAGGAAAGACATTTTTATGAGTATTATTGTCTTGATTTACACCAACGACTGAAAGGTTCAAAACATCATATTCACCAATTAGCCAAGTAAATTTGATAGTATTTTACTAAGAAATGTTCAAAGTCGAAAGCTACCTTACCTTATAGAGTGTTTTTTTGCTCTTTCTCTCTACAATGCATCATACTTTTGCATAGCATGAACATATTTGAATTTCCATTCATTTGGGGTTTAAAGATAAAAAATTTTGGTTAAATATAAATATGGAAAGTGATTTTGTGTCAACTTCGGCCAAATATCAAATTTCATCCAATAGTCAAATTATAAATATGAATGAGAAATTGTGTTCCAAAGTTGGAAAGAAAAGAAAAAAATTGACCGAACAACAGGTAAGCAAAAAGTTTCTTTTTAAAAAAAACAACACTAGCACTTGAACAAGAGACCAGCGACAACAAGGGATGCATATCCAATATCATTTACATTGAGCTCTATGTCAAAAACTTTAACAAAAACTCTTCAAAAATATTTTTCTTATAGAGGAAAGAATTTCATTTGAGCTCGTAGTTACTTGTGATTTGAAATACTTTTACCACAAGTTGTATCCATTTTATCTAGTGTCACAATCCGTTAGTACCATTACAAGGCGATTGTCTTAAAGAAAAAGTATCAATAACTTGTCTCGACCCCTATTTGGGTTTCATTATTTTAGATTATAATGAAAGGAATAATAATTTTTTGAAGAATATGTGGTTGAAAATAAAAGATTTTTTTTAAAATTTACGTGTAATATTATTATATTAAAGAATGTTTGATTGATAAGAAGAAAGAAAAAAATAAATTTTAATTTAATGAGGGCCAAACATGAGCTTGGATAATTTTCTTACTGTCTTTCATTGTTCTCCTTTCTCTTTGTTTCTAAATTTAATTACGCTCCTACGAATTAAACTAAATCATTATTCTGAATACTGACGAACAATCATTTCCCTACCTATATTTCCCAACAAGAGGAAATAAGAAAACTAAAATATAGGATATAGCATGGCCAGACATAATGTCCCTTGTTGACATGTACATCCCCCTATGAGTACAATCATAGTCCAATAATTGAAGTACAATACAGCAAATATTTGGCAAACAGCAGCGACACTTTTTGACCAAGAAAATAACAGTTTTTTCTCCTCTGGTAAAGTAAATGTGCAAAACAAAGAAAGTCGAACTACCACCCATTAACAATAAAACTACACGGGTGGCATATGTTTTGCTAAAGGAGAGATGCATCCAAAGATATAAACAAATATGATGAAATTATTAATTTGCAATAGTATTTCGATACACATATAAACATGAAATAATAGCCTTATGGCTTCACGAGATTCCTATATGACCAAAACTAAAAAATGCAATTACCATGCTTGCTAAAGGAACAGAGATATTATCGTCCATTAATCCTCCGGTTGGAAGGGACTCTACAACAGTTGCCACAAATGAAACCAAAGCCACCGTTTCTATTGTCTGGACCCAATCCAGCTTAAAGTATCCGAGGATTGAAAAATAGTAGAGCATCCTACAATCACAAGTGACAATGGTAGAAACGTTGAGGACCAACATTTTAAACATATATGCTAGGAAAAAAAAATGTTCTAAAGTTCATACATACCCGACAGAAACTAGGAAACCAAATAAAAACATTGACACACTACCAGCCCAACTCTTCTGCTGATTGTAAGGAAGTTTTTGCGAACCAAATCTTCTTCCCACAATGTCAGCAATACCTACAATTCGGCAAGTTGGAAGAGTTCCATGGAAGTATACAAAAGTAGATTCGTAAGGCAGAGCTCTTACCATCCCCACCGCACATCATTGCCAACGAAATCACTCCAATAGGAGAGTCACGCCAGAAGACAATTGCACATAGAATCAATACTAGAACATAATAAAGAGGACCTCTAAGCAATTCCCTGTAAAGAAAATGTTGACATCATAGATTAGTATATATTACAAAGAATCACTTGTTATTTGACAGGAAATTCAAAGAATGACAAAAGTCAAGATACTCGAGAATTACTCAGGCTTTCCCTCCCGGGTAACTGATTTGACGAGTACTTCATCAGTAGCCAAGGAAAGACCATGTATCAAAAGCCTTAAACAATTTATAAGAGGAACTAAAGAAGCAAAGTAGCGAGCTCCTGTCGATGTGCTATCTAAGATCAAAATATTAAGTTGAAGTTTTTGATAACATAATTATTAATTAACAAAAATGCAGACTGTAATCTCTCCAACGACAAAGCAGGTACCTGAAAATTGGCCAGGCAGCCAAGAAAAGCAATCCCGACAATATGTGGACCAGTTTCCTGCTCAAACTCTGTACAACAAGCAGAGGAAAAAATAGATATCAGCAAGAGAGGAAGGATAGTTAAAAATTAAATTGCACGAGATAATTGTTTCATATAGAAGAGTTTTGCAAATTCTAATTTGAAAATAATTATCCTCCTCTCTTTACAAAGATGCAAACTGACAGGCAAATCTCTCAAACTGATATTCAGTGTTTCCCGTTCAGAATGACTGTTACTGATATCTAGCACGCATAAGAGTTCATCTTTTCTGAAAGAAATAACCTTAATTCTGACATTTTTAAAATGTCACAAAGCCGAGAAGCACTATTTAGTTTACTTATACATGACAAAGGAGATATTAACTCTAACCGTAAAAAGTTTATTCAAGAACACTATGATCCTTCATGATTTATACATCATTAGATTAGATAATCGGATAATAATTTTCATGCACTTGTTAAGATATTCAACTTTGTTGCTCTTATATTTTTTCCTTTTTATTGTTTGGATAAGACTATCGATTGGGTACCCAATGTATATGACATCATAATTCATAGCGGTGCTGGTGCTAAAATCACATTATTGTTTTGACTTCCAACATCATGCACTCCAGTGATTATTGTCCCATGGGTTAGTTGCACCAGTATTGACAATTTTTGGATAATATACTCATGGATTGTGTGCTCAAAATGACCTACTCTGGTGTAAATCTTTTCCATGTCATGCTTTGGTCTCATACACAGCAGTTTTCAAAGAAAAATTCAAATCTATGTTTGCTAAAATTAACTAATTGCATGTTTTTCTATAGTTTCACTTCGACATTTTAGTTTAATCACTATCTGAAAAATCTTTATCCCACTCAGGTGTTGGATTTTCATCTAATTGGCTATTAATTACTTATATTTTGGGACAAATAAATCAAAATTCTTGTAAGCCCTAAAGTAGCTTTTAATGTCCTCAAAAAAATTACTATTAATAGGAAAATTTCAGCCTTCCCCTTCTGTTCTATTGGGTAAAATTGTCAAAATACAGACATATTTTCCACTTTGCAGTATCCAAATATAGTCCAAGGACAGAGCAGAAAATTTATCACTCAATTAGTATCTTCAAAAACCAGATCTGTCTTTCAGTTTCTGTGCACCCAAAACTATCATCTCAATTTACTAACACACACAAGGTATTTTTCAGCACACACTGAAATGCACATACATGTGCAATGGAAAGTGAAGATACATAGATAAAGGCACGTGACATGTTCCAAGTTAGGCTGTCGAAAGTGGCTATAAGAGCGTGCACCGCCCATCACCAAATGAAATCAGTTTTTATTGATACATATTTATCAAGGAAAAAAAATCTTCATCTACATTAAACAAATAATATAAATATTAAAATAACTTATAAAAATTATTATAAAAACGACGATGACACAAATATTTCTCATTTTCAAAAATTTCAAAATTTTTTTCTATATTCTACACATTTCACACTATAATAATATAATAAATACAATACTCGTGCAACGCACGAGACGAAGACTAGAATGGTTATAAAGTGTGACAATTTTTGGATGATGTGTAAAATTATTTTATTCGAAAAACATATAATTGAAAATGAGTTTGAAAAAAAAATAAGTTTTTAAATAATGAATCTCAAATAATGGCATAATATATATACATGTTCTGATATAAGATTTATATAAATACATGTCTAGATGTAGGGGTGCCAATGGATCGAACTAACCCCACTCTATGAATGAGCTATATTTGATCTGTATCCACAAACTAATCTCGATTCGATTTTTTGGTGCATAGATTTCTTGGGTTGAGTCAAACTGTCAAAAAATTGAAAAACTAAAAATAAAACAAATTTTGCGTACAAGTTGACTCATGGAAAAAAGGTGTCCAGTTAGGTTCATGGTTAGTCTCAAAATGAGATTGAACCATCCATAGATCCAGCGGGACGAATTTGCCAACAACTCAACCCGTTTAGCAGTTGTATCTACATGAGAATTTATTTTTATTTCAAAAATATAAGACATCTGGTGACATTATTGAATTATAAAAAGAATGACTAGAAATCAAGTTTGAAATTGAGAGTATATTCATTAGACATTGTCTCTAATTAGTTTAGATTAGAATCTCAATTAACAATTACTTTTAATTACAAATTTAAGGGACCGACAAATTTTTTATCACACATTTTATCAATTTTTATTGTAGTACTAAAGAATCTAATTTATACTGCATTGTCATTAATTTTATGTAAATGAAAAAGTTTTTCTATTTATATGCCACTTAAATAGCAAATTAAAGAATACATTTAATATGCTATTGAAACTTTATGTGTAAATTTAGAAGTATGCTGCGTAGAAATTTCACTAGCAATGTTGTGATTTGGACATAAAATATTCATTTACTTCAGTTTCATATTAAAAAAAAATATATATCTTTAATAAAAAAATTAGATTGAAGGAAATTATTTATTTATTTATTATTAAATAAATAGAAAAAAATGACAAAAGAAACAAAAGAGATGAGTAGATAATAGCTTTTGTAATGGTAAGTGACAAGAAGATTCAAGCATGTTAATGGTTTGTGACATGGATTGCATGGATAAAATTGTTCAAAATTGGTGAAAATGACGTTCAGCGCCAAGAAAGGTAAAAATAGGGGCAAAAATGTCAAAAAAATGAAATGTATGGACGTTTTCCACAATAGACATGAAAGATAGGGACGTTTTGTGCCAATTACCATTTTCTTGATCATCATCATTTGTAATAAATTTTAACCGCGCCATTAATAATAGGGAAAATTGTAGCGGAGGTCCCAAACCTTTTATTTTGTTGCAGAGTGTACCTTAACCTTTCATTTTTGCGATCTCAGTCCCAAACCTTTCACTTTAATGGCAACCGGAGTCCAAATGACGGATTTCGTCCAGAATGTTGTTAGTCAATACCGAAACTGGAATTTTGACTCAAATTGTCGAAATAACTGAAGGTTAAAATGGTAAATGAACATTTTCTATAATATCTTCACCAAACATCATAAAGAACATATTCTCTAAACATCCCACCTATCCCATCCCAATCCAAAACCAATCACCACCGACCACCACCCCAATACACGCGATGCCGCACCACCCCCTATAGCCACCATCAATGCAACCACCCACAAAATTAATTTTTAGTATGTCCTAATAATATGCCTACTAGAGATCAATTAATTTTTGCTCAATATTTTTCCACCAAAACTCAGTGATTTTGGTAATTCAATTCCACCATCTCTATTTTGGGTCTTAATTTTTTTTTCTTGAAGTTGATGAGGAGCTGCCTGTCAACAACACCACCTTTAGGAGAACTAATGGAGACGGGGGCAAGGCAAGTTAGCTTCTTCTTCAATGTGACCAATTTACCCCTATTATTTTGGATTGAATGCAGATCTTCCAATGAACACTCTTTTTCTGGCTATGAGACCATTCTTAATTTCATTTAGCATTAGGTTCTTGGTGCAGTATGATACGGTGCGGTGTGGCAGTCACAGGCGGTACTGTAATGGCGGCAATGTGTTTGCAGTGGTCAAAGTGATTGGGTTTGGTTTTTGTTTTTGTTTTTGATTTTGGGGATGGAGAGTGAGATATTTGGAGAAGAGGAAGTACTTTGGTGTTTTGCTAATTTTTATATAATTATTTGAATTGTTTTATTTTAGAAAAAATGTTTATTTATCATTTTACCCCGCATTTAGTTTGCCATTTTCAGTCAAAATTTCAATTTTGGTGTTAACTAACGGCATTCTGGATGAAATCTGTCATTTGGACTCTAGCTACCGTTAAATTGAAAGGTATGGGACTGCGGGCACAAAAATGAAAGGTTAAGGTATACTCTGCAACAAAATGAAAGGTTTGGGACCTCCGGTACAATTTTCCCTTAATAATAATAGACGAACGAATTAAAATAAAAGTACTCAAAATGACATATATTAATTGAACATATATGGGATGAATATATGAATTCCGATAATTAAATTATGCTACTAGGTCGACTTCTCCGTACCATAATTTCGAGATTCAAAATTTACTATGTTGTTTTCAATAACATAATTTCATATTTTCTTAAATGTGGTATTTTTATTAATTATATTACATTTTAAAAATATATGAAATAATTTCATATTTTCCTAAACAAAATGTAATTATGTATGTAGTAGTAAATCGAATAAATAAATAATTTTTCAGTTATATAAATTGTTAAAAATAAAAGAAATGAAGAAAATGACTAAATGCTGTTCATTTGATGTAACTTTCGGTGTAATGAGTTGGAGATAATTTTTAGTTTGGTACAAAATTATGTAGATTTTGGTGTAGGGTTGGAGATGGCCTTAATCAAGCCCTTTTCTTTCTCTTTAAATCTTTCAAGTAATAGATTTTTCTCCCGTTTGATGGGGTTAAAATTTTGATAATAATTTAAATTGAAATTAATTTTAATCACACATTTTGTTAAATTCACAAATTTTTAACTACACATTTTTATCAAATTTTATTAAAAATTTTATTTTTAGTTATACCAAGTAAGAATCTAAACCATTACGTATGATATTCAAATATGTTGAGAATTTAAAAATGATTGAAAGTTTACGAAATAAATACCAGATAGCCAATTTTGACTTTTGAGGTTGATTAATCCAATAAGTCAACTATTTGTTGTGAAATTATTTATTTATTTATTATTATTATTATTTTTTATTTATTATTATTATTTTTTTATCTTATCTCAATTTTGAAAATGTAGTTGCATGGAGTGAATTACTTGGGAGAACAAAAATTGTCTTGTCCATGTTTTGTGTATACAATAAACATGCAATGTTTTATTTGATATCTTAACACTGCCTCATATGACCTTGACCAATTAACTTATGTTGGTAAGTGGATGGATGGTTAAGTTAGCATATTCATGAATACGTGCGATTCACCAATTTAGGGATGAACAAAATGTTCAGATCAGACCAAATGAATTGAACCGAATCGAACCAGTCTATAAAAAAATTAATGGTTTTGGTTCTTTGAACCAATAACCATTTGGTTCTGGTTCAATTCTAGTTCTAAAATTGAGAATCAGAATCAAACATAATGTTTAATTTTATTTTATAATATTAGTTAGTGTAGACCCTAATTTTGTATTCATTAGAGACAGCTTGTTAATTTTGTGCACCCTAATTTTGTATTCACCCCAGTATGCTGACACTGCATTTCATCAAGACAATGGAGGAGACTCTTTTAAGATCGAAAAATGAAATTGGTCGGTCACTTAAAGAGTTTTCAAAATATTTTTTTATCTTGATTATTTGATGAATTATTTGCGTTGTTCACAAATAGAGGAAAATTCAATAAATATTCATGAAATATTAAATGGTTAATGGTTGCCTGTAAAAGTGCATTGTAAAATTTTTGCATAATTCATCCTTTATTGTTGGAGGGGGGGGGGGGGGGGGGGG